TAGGACTTACAAACAACCGTTATGTGAATAAAACTATAATACTCTCTTTAGCAACATTGTTGCGAGAGTATAATAAAAATGAAATGAAAGAGTAGATTCGTTTCGAGATTTTCAATGTGACTTAATACGTTTTTACTAAAAATACAGATAACAGGTTGTTGGCTTTTTGTTTGCAACTAAGATAAATGCAATAAATGTTATAACTAATAATGGGCATTCTAGTCTAGAGCCTAACTTCCAGGGTTTTGGCAGTTGATAAAATTCAATATACATACATACATACATTAATCGCGCGATCCATCAATTCTCTTTGAAATTATAACATCTTTTTAGGGAGCAATTATTAAATATCTAAATTACCGAAATATGAAAAAAATTTGCGATATTTTTAATATATACTGCAAAACCTTCTTAAGTTAGAAGGATTCGTATTTTTTTACGAATTAACATATTATAATGTGGATATGAGTAATTAGCCACTAACTCAGGATTGAGCATTTATAGGATATTGAGCAACGCAATCGAAGCTTGTGACAGCTGATCTTTCAAATAAAGAGTCCACAAATAAAAGGTCAAGAATCTTTTGAGAATGACTTATGCTGCAAGTATGAAAAATTTTATTAAAATATTTATTAAATCAAAGCCATTTACAATCAACCACTTTAAAAAGCAATGTATAAATGCAAGTTTATATGCCAAACGCTATCGCAACCCATAAATAATTGTAGCCATTAAGACGGCACAGGTGAGAACGCTTAAATAATCAATAAATAAAAACCGATTTGTATTCCTACTTTGAAAATATCCAACTATCAACTATCTCATTCTCATTTTCATTCGATTTTAAACTAAAAGGCGAGTTATTTAAAACAAAAAATCTCTAAAGTCACTAAGGTTTAAAAAATAGCGTTTGTTTCTTCATTGATGATCAGGTTTTGTGATTTTGGTTTTATGAAACGCAGCCATAAAATTCCTACATTTGCTTACCTGTTAATATCTGCTGCTTGAGCGGTAAAATATTATGGGTTTAATTTTTTTTTTTTTTTTGCTTTATTTTGGTTTATTGTAATCACCACAATTTTTTTTTTGCCTTTTCGGTTTTCAATTTGATGCTAGGCTCTAACACCTGCTACACTAAAATCTATTGGAGCTGGAGTTGTTCAGAAAGAAAAGCACACACACACCCGCTTTGAATTCAACGAACGAAGATCGTGCAATTTTGATGTTACGATGGACAAGAAAAATAAATTAGGTTTCAATCCCAAAAGCTGAAGTTGAGAACATGTACACTTAAAAACGCTATCCAGCTGGTGTCTTTTTTGTTAAGCCAGCAATTTTGTGAAAATAAAAACACCTATGTGAGTACATATACACGTTTTTAAAAGTATTTCGCTCAATAAAGCGACGCTGCTTTACGCAAAACACGCACACTTTTTTGAAAAAAAACTTTATTTTTCTATTTTTATTTATTGCTAACTTCACTAGTTTAATTTGTTAAAGACATTCCGCGGATAAAAAAAGACAATTTTATTTTGAAAACAGCGCGCAGCATTATGTTTAAAGTTGCGCGGACAAACACAAGTGATAAATACAATAGGTATATCAAGAAGGAAAACCGACACATTGAAACGAGTGACAAATAAAAATAAACAAAAAACTGTTGACATGTTGGCAGGTAATGGTTACTTACTAATACTGTTTGATGCAACGCTGTGAGTTCAGCAACATGTAACCGAGCTGCCAATATTAAAAAATTCTTATTTGTGCATAATTTAATATTTAAATAAAATTATTTTGTTATTGTAGGCAAATATAAATACATATATCTCTGCAGAATAAGATAGATTCGAAAATGGCCATACGCAAAACAATCTGTCCTTTTACTTACTTTTTTTATTGGCCGACATCCGTTCAATGTCCGTTCTAATTACAGTCGGGTCTACGTAACAGAAACGGCCACGGAATAATTCTTCGAATTAGTCGATATTATTTGGCAATATCCGCCACTGAAAAACAACATCAAAATTTTTGAAATATTCGCTTATTATAAAATATGCGTGGAAGCAATCCTCATACATATTAAATGTTCTATTTATATCAGAAAGTTTGGTAGTTTTATTTCCATAATATTTGTGTCAAATGAACTTTACCTTATAATTGAGTAATTATATATTATGGTACATATACATATATTTAATAGTTTATTAATACATCACGTTTAAAAGTTCGTAAACAGAGACAAAAAAAATTAATAATAATATAATAAAAATAACAAAACTATTTATATCAAAACACAGTAAATATTAAAAAGGACAAAGGAAATCTGGAATTTAATTACAAATTAAAATAGTGGATACATAGTTGTAACTAGGTCGTATCGAAGTTTCCTAGAAAAATATTTGCTTATCAGAAATGAAGAAAAACACATTTGAATTTCACTACAGAAAAATTGTTGTGTTCCAAATGTGCCACCTAAAATATAATTTACGTAGTTATCTTATTATTTAATCACTGTCATAATCATTTTTGTTGCCCACAGTGAGAGGACGTCGTGACTCATCCTCCGAGCCGTATACAACCTCCTCATCCGAATCATTAATCATCGAAAATGCCGGATTATCCTTAGTTACAGAGATTTCTAAAAAAAAAAATCATAGTCACAAATTTCAAATGTCCTGGTTTCTGTAATGTCCATACCTTGTGAAAAGCGACCATTAGGGGAATACACATAAGCCATAGTGTATAGATAAAAATTCAACAGCCCGTAAAAGCACATGAACTGCGCCGAACTATGATAGGTGGTATTAAGTGTGGCCACAAAATTATCCTCCAATATACCGAAGCCAAAGCGACATGTTGTTACCATTATGGTAATGGAGATAACAAATAACATCAAAAGCGTTAAGAATTTCAGACGCATATCTGGAGAAAATTTGTTTAATTAAACTTGTACACCTCCAAAATTATCGCAATTATCAAGAGTACTTACCAAAATAAGGCATCGACCTGAGCTCAGTATAGGCGCGTAATACTAATAAGGCCAAATACAGTATATACATACAGCCAGCTATGAAGAAGAACAACTTGAAGCCCTAGGAAAATAGATGAATTATTATTATTATAATTTTCGTATGTATACTCGCATGTTCGTCACTCACATTATAATTTCTTGTGTCCACAAAGTGGCTATAGGTGGGATCGCGTAGCTCGTTGCATTTTTCCCAAGTGGCCAATACTATGGCGCACAGCCAAATTGGTAGTATAACAATGATTTTTGGTAAGTAGAATCGTATGAAACGCCTTTCATTCTGCCGCAAGCCATGATATATACAAAGCCAGAACATGAGAAGCGAACACAGGAATGTTGCTTGGAGGATTGCATCCAACATGCCGGGGAACCACGAGTTCATTAGGAAAATTGATGGAAAGAAGGGATCTGTAAGATGAAAGTGATAATTTAAAGATGTATACATATTTGTATTTTCCCTTTATACGCACTGTCATACAACAAGAGAAGCGGCAGGAGTATGGACATCCATTTCTGTTCGATAGACCAATCGTAGATGGGATATTTGCGGAGTGTGTGAGCATACCAGCACTATAAAAATATTACAATTATATACTGATAACAAATTAACATACCATATCCATATTTACTTACAATTACAATGAAGGTAAATAATAGAAATATAAAGCGGAACCATATCTCGATTTGTGTAAACTCGGGACTATAAGTTTTGAACTGTAAAAGAGTAAATACAGATAGAAATATAATATTAGAATATAATACCAAACTCTCCAATTATTGCATTATAATAACAGTATAATAACAGTAACTTACATAAAATGTTATGCTGCGTATATTATACTTCTGGTGGAAGGTCTCCAATCCATAGAAGCGCACAGTGATTATATAATGTGCATATTCAAGAAAACCCAAATGCAGTATTGTAAACTCTTTACAATCGTTCCGCACACAGGACAAGTGTCGAGTACGATTGCGTACCGAATCGGCACGGAGTATGCTCAAAGGTTTGTGTTGTTCTGTAATACCATCTATGGCAACGCTAACTTGGAAACTCTTATCGTATTTTTCGTCTAAAAAAAATAAAGCATAAAATACACATGTGTGCACCCCTTAAGCATTTCTCAATACAACTCACCATCATTGTTGTCGGTCACCAATTTGGCAATCAGCCACAGTTGCTGGGAGTACGTGGTCATTAGTGGTGATTTCATCGCAAACGGCCCTGTTGCCAACACAGTCTTACTATTAGCCAACGATGTGTTCGCCAGTATACTTTTAGCGGTGATCTCCGATGTACTGGTAATGGGTGGTCCGGTGAGGCCAATTACAATGGCCAAACCGAAACAAATGAGAAAACCCAGAAAGACCATGACGAATTCGCGTTTTTGCATCGAATAAAGACGCATATGCACCGAACGTTCACATCGGTCATGATGGTAGGCCGGTGCAATATATCTATTGAACTCACTGAATAGATCGCTAAATTGTGAGAGGGAATTCTTGAGTCGTAAAAGTAAACCACCCGAGGGCAAGTGGTATGAGTAGCCCAGACCCGTAGTGTCTGTGGGTGGTTTGGACATTGTGACAGCACTTACAAAGTGACGATGGTGCTTTTTGTATAGCGATTTCTATCTAGAGCGGAAGTGATAGTATTCTAAGGTATTTTTGGTTATGAGGAAGGACGATTGTAATGGATAAGGAGTTATTGTTGTTGTTGTCGACAATTTTATCTGTGTTGGATGTGCTTGTCTTGTTTCTGGCTGAAGGAAACTGGAGTTTAGTGCGCTTTTCTACTGCTATCTAACGTGAGGAGTCTTAAGGAAATGAGATGATTTTGTAATGGGAATAAGTATATTATGCAAATATTTTTGAATTTGTAGTTTTCAAGCACTGCTTTCAAACAAAAGAACTGTGTTTACTTCATTTTCACTTTCACATCACAACTATTGTTGAACGGCCATGAACTACAATACAAGTAACCTGTCACTACATTTTTCAATTTATCACTTAACGGTCGGAGATGAAAACTTTTTTATGTTCTGCAGCAAAAGTATGTTCTTTACTTATTTTCGAATAGAAATAAGTATTCAAGTTTTGATTTTGGAATATATTTCTATTATTTTGTATGGAAAGGTTCGCGGCTGTTAAAATCGATTATTTTCACTTAGCAGAGAAAGCACATATGGCGTATCACTCGTTTATTTAATAAAGTGTTTGACAGCAGTTTGGGCCCCAGTGCGCAGGTCCCGGTGTTATCAGTTATTTTGTGATTTGATTATTAGCGCATGGTCCTGCCGTAGAAGGTGGAATTGTTTGTAAACAAAAGTAAAAATTGCGTAAACAAATTATGAAAGTGAGTGGTTCTGGACGATGCTCAGTATGACTGAACTTCTGAAATGAGTAAAATATTGAGAGACTCATCATGAGATTGAGAGACATCAGAATGAGTGATTGAGCCAAACTTCTGATAACAAATACGTTTTTAAACGTTTAATTTATGCTTGAAAGAATATATCTATTACGAATCTGTTAAAGCTTTTTTCAAGTATTTTTTTAACTGAACAAATTAGAATTTATGTTAAAATAAATATTCATAGTAAATATTCTTTAAGTTATAAGAAACAACTTCTTTTACATTTTTATTTCTATTATTAATATAAAACTATTACAACTGTGTGAGGTGTGTACTACTTAACATATTTTGCTACGCAATGTCTTTCGTCTAATCCCAGTATTTGATTAGGCCATCCCAACCGGCTGTTACCACTTTGCTTGCTTCATGCGGATGCCACATTGCGCTTATACACACACCCTCATGCGCCTGCCATTTCTTGTACATTTTCGTTGTCTTCCAGTCCCATATATAGCACTTACCGTCTCCGTCTCCGCTAACTAAATAACTCATGTCAGGCGAAAAGTCAAGCTGACAGGCATAACCCGAAACCATATGTCCACTGAACGTCTTCTTACGGTTCATTTTAAAGCGATTTAACGCGGAGAATATCACGATTTTATTATCCAAAGACTGACACGCCAACCATTTGCCATTTGGCGCAAGCGTCACTGCCGGCATGGAATGCATTGTGGGATCGGCTATGTACTTCATATCGACTGGTATATCCCATTCCCAAATACGCATCGATTTGTCATCAGAGGTAGTAACAAAACGTCGATTTTCATCGACAAATGTAATCGTGTTGACTGCCCCCAAGTGGCGATCATATTCCTGAACAATATCTCCGCTGCGTGTGTCCCACTGTGGATCAAATTAGATTTTAGTACATAGTTTTGATGTGAAAAGTAAAACAACTTACGCAAATAATTTTCTTATCAGATGTGCCTGCTACAAAGAGATGTTGCTTGTTGTTGTCCGGATGGAACTTGACGCAGAAGGGCATTTTGCGGGCTGTGAAACGTGATATAACCTCACCAGTTTCGGCATCCCACATTTTTATATACCGATCATAGGAAGCAGAAAGAAATTTGGTGCCTTTATTGTTCCAAGCGACGTCTTTGATCGCCTGTCTATGACCAGAGAATGTACGAATACAGCGTCGCTCGCCGAACACTTCCCACAGCTTCACGCGACAATCCATTGAGCCCGAAAGCAGTAAGTGCGCTGTTTGTGGGAACCATCGAATCGATGAAATACCTTTTGTATGCCCAGTCCAAGTGTGTATGTGTGATTTTGGTAAGAAACATTTGTTAGGCGCGGACGTTGAACGCAAGTTAATACCCAAGTCATGAGGAGCATGTAGATAAGAACGTCCTTGATAATCGTAAGCATCTTTGACTGTAAATAAATTAATTAGATATTAATTCTTTAAAAAAAAAAAAACAATATTTGAGTAATTTACTGTGAAGAACAGATTTTTCCTCTAATGGCTTATCTTCAACAATGCGGTTACGCCTGTGTCTTTTAGCAAGAATCTCTTCCAGCTCTGCTTTTTCTTGGTCATTTGGTCGTGCAACGGATTGTTCATCTTGATATTTACCCCAAGGACCGACGAAACCTTCAATGTCTTCTGGATTGTCATTTTTATCTTGCTTACGCTTCTTTTTTATTTTCGGTGATTCAAACACAGTTTTTCCATCATCATCATATGCCGATTGTAAATCACCGACAAATGCTTGACCATCTGCCACTTCGTCGACGGAGGGATCCAATGCATATCCATAAGTGTGGAATGTGCGCCGCTGATTTTCAAATTCAAATGCGTTAATGTGTGCCTTTTCCACATATCCAGAAAGAGTGTTGCGCGGCGCTCGCATTTGTTGTGTTAAGTTTGGATTTTCCGGACCTTTGACTGGTGCGTACAGTTCCTCAAATTTTGGATTATATGTCACTTCTTTCACAGTAGGATCAATGGTGCGCGAAACATCAACGGCGTTCATCGGCACAACTTCAGGAGCTGCACAAACGGCTAGGGATTTAGCAATCGACAGTGCGGGGTCGACAGGCTTCAAATGTGCGACGGCATCGGTATTATGTGCTTTAGGTGTCACTTTTTTGGTCGCTTCATCTGCTTCAGAATCACTTTCCGATGAACTCCCATAATTTTGGATACCTAACATGCTGCTTGTTTTAATTCTCTCCTTCACTTTAAAAACAATATTAATGCTTTTAAAACAAATGCGTCCCAAAAATAATAACAGGTCAAATAAATTGTCAGCTGTTTACAATCATGGTATATATATTCCACGACTGACATTTCTACAGTGTTGCAAAAATTTGTGATATGTGACGGGAATGGAACACAGTGTTGTAAAGTTAACTTCAAATTATTTTTTAAGTTTCAGTAATTTGTTGTTGATTCTTTTTTTTATAATATTTCTCATTTATTCTTAAAAATAATGAATAGAGCCCGTTTTCAAAAGAAATGAGTGACTTTACGTTGTAATTCAGATATTTTTTTCGTGCCACACAAAAAAATTCTAATCTCAAGATCAGTTTTTTCTGTTTCGATTTCATAAACCCATTTCCGTAAGTCTGTCAAATAATTGCGCGGAAAAGGATACAATATTTTAATATTTCTTCAAGTAAAGAATGTTTAGGTGACCAAAGGTTGTTTTCGAGTGTTGCCATTCCTTGTACAAGTAAAGTGAAATTAATTTATTTTGAATAGTGAATTATTGCTGTAAATTTTCTCTATAGTATTCCTAACAAGAAACTGCTGATGGGATCGGCAATAAGCTAATATTTGTTAGGTGAGTCTTTTTCAGTTTACTGTGTCTAGGGAGTCGAGGAAAGAAACAAACCTAAAACAATTGTTTTACACAATGAACTTGTTAAATAATTTTTCGTTATGTGCAATCTTTTAATACTTACTATAAACATTTATATTAAAGGTTATGGGTTATTAAAAAACTTTTTCAGCTTTTTCAAATGAACCACAGATAAAATGGAAAGCTTTTAAATTAATAAAACAAAGTATTTGTATTTGTTTTCCTAATAGTAAGTTAAAATATTGCAACAATTTGATGAAACGATAATTAACATCTATACATTTTCCAATAGAACCATAAAACAAAAATATCAAGTTAAAGAAATACAAACTACGAATTCAATAATTTCTAGCGATTTCTCTGTATATACACAGTTTTATTTTTTGATTATGTACATATGTAAATTTTGCTTACAAGTTTTATTAAAGAACATAACAGTTAGTCAGTTTACGAAAATAGTAGTGCCTATTTTGAAGAAGGAAACACAGAATATTTTTTTATTTATTTTTTAATACTTCTATAGTACAACGTGGCCTACAATCTTTAATATTTTCTGAAAACGCCAAATATGGATTGAAACCCATGCCTCCTGACCACTAGCTAAACTTGTGTTGCACTTGAGGGATTGGATTCAGTTCCAGTTATTGTACTGACCAAGACATTGCGTCGATATTTTTTGATGCAAACCACTCCTCAGCAAGTTTGTTCGTATGGTTTGGATCGATTTGTAAGAGTAGTAACCAAAAAACTCAAATTATTTCTTTTAACTTTTGAGCTTGTACTTGCTTCTTACATTTCGTATAATCCTCTCACCTTTAATACTGACTTTCGCTTTAGCATTGCATATAATTGTGCAGCTGTATCCCCCAAAACTTCGATTCTCTTTTTTCACTTAAACTGAAACAGCTCTGCGATTTCAAAAAACTTTCATCAGACAAAGTATAAAATTTCTTAAATAAACTAACTTATGGCAACTATCTTATCATTTTTTAATATATCTACACCTAATACTACTACGTATTTCAATGAATCGCTTGTTTTTTTTAGAATGTACAAAACTGCGTCATAGGAAAAACAGCGGAAGCACAAGTAACGAAATTTTTCCGTTTTTATAGTTTGAAGTGTTTTACCAAAACAATAAAACTTGTTGATTTGGAAAGCCCGCATAAATTAGAAAAGCTCCATTGATATAAGAATCTCTTGCATTACTGTTTTCATGAACACCACTGTATATCCTAAATATGTAAATATTACTTAATCTCAACCACTTCGCGCAAATAAAATGAATTAATTTAATTTTCAATATATTTTATGTTTTATTTATATTTTTTCATTCATTCGTATTCTTTTAATGTTGTAAATTGTATAATTGTTATAATAATAATAGTTTTGTAAATTCATTAAGACAAAAATTGTGTACGTGTGTATTTTATTTTGGTGTGCATACTTGCGTATGCATGAATGTTCCCCGACGCGTTTGCTTCGTTTTCATCGCTTTTTACACTATTTTGATTAAAATACGTTTACGCCAAGAATGCATTGTATATAATATATATTCATTTATTTATTTGCTTGCTTCACTTCCATAATTACATATATTTTCAATTAGTCATTTATTTAAGTATATATAACGCTTAATGTTCAATGTATTTGGTAAAAAATAGCTACAATCAAGCTTAAGTTTCGCTTCGCCTTGAATGTTTGTGTTGGAAGCGTTTTGCTCTCAAACATACGCAATTACATGCACATATGTATGTATGTGTGTAGAAATTTTGTAATCAAGGCCGTTACTTAGGAGTAATTAAAAATAATAATACAACTAATTTTAAACTAATAATACATACACACAATGTACAGCTAAAACAAGCAGTAAAAAATTATTTAAAAAACTGACTTAAAATTATTTAGTAAAACAACTCAAAAATAACATTGAACAGATAAACACATACAGACAGTTGTTATGGCTCTGCTTTTACTCTTTTTAACCTTATGGCACTGTTGCTTCTATATAACTTCCAAGAATAGTATTTATTAATTTATTTGGATTGGCGCTGATTTGGAGATTTACAATGTATTTGTTTGGTTATTATTATTTTTTAATTAAATACAACTTGTTGCTATAACTAACGATTTATAAGGCATTAAAACAAATTTCTTCAGGCGCTTACAGGCCGAAAAATTTGTGCTTAAAAATTAGGTTTTTTTTTCATTTTCATTTTAATTTCAACTTTACTTTTAATTTAACATTCAACTTTTGTGTAATTAAACTTGTTTATTTATATGCTCTATACGTAGTTTATCAATTAAAGTAATTATTTATGTACGCTCTAATAACTTGATTTCACTCAATATTTTGGAGTTTATGGCCGCTAAGAATTCACTGTTAATGGTAAAAAACCGTAAATATAATTAACATAAATTTATATACAGACAAGTACGGATACGAGACTTACAAATAAGAAATACGAGGATTTGCTAAAACTAACCTTAAAACTTAAGTGTACATACACAACTACAACCTTGTGGTGGGGGTTGTGGCGGCGACATTGCCACGCTTATTGTGCTAACAGTACATGTCTTTGGATTTCTAGCTTGATTGCTCGGTTAGGATATACAGGGCATAATTTCATGCGAAAAAATTTCCAAAACCTTGAAACCGAAAATTTTATTAAATTAATTTTATAATTACATTATAGTGATGCGTTAAATTACTTTTGTTGCATACAAATTATTCTCTTTTAACATTAATTTTTTTTTTCTAATTTAAAAATTCGCATTTATCGCTGGTTCTCAGGGGGCTTGAGGAAGAAACGAAATGTGTTCGTTGTTTAGGAAACCTTCTTTATGCATTTGTGTTTCTTCAATTTTGCGCACCTTTCTTTTGGGCACACTTTTTTATTACTTTTTTCTTAACCTGCTGCTTATTTTTACAACAACTGTAATTTTATTGAAGACTTACTTTTTTGTGGTGGCTTGCATTGTTAAACTGCTGAATTTCATTGTAATTGCTTTTCCTGTCTTTGAATGAGTTTATTTTTATCGGGCGGGTGTTAATCATGTTTTTGGCAAACGCAATGTGTCGCGAATTGGTGCATAAATTTACAAAAACAAATGCAGGTAAAATATTTATATAGCGAGGAAGCTTTGGAAATTTGTTGTCTTTCGAAACTCATCAAAATATCCGTAAGTTTCTTATTGTCCATGAATTTTTACAAGTAGGTTAAGTAGTTAATTTTTTAGTTTTCAAACATATTTTGCTTAATTTGTATGTATTAAATTTCAAAGATTTTGGTGTAGTAACTTGAGCTTAAAAGTTTGTGAAAAAATTTTGCTATGCTATTAATACAATATTTTTTGTTGGTTTTGCTTTGTTAGTTTCCAAACATTTCGCCTTATAGCTATTATATTTTACGCTTTTACCTCAAGTTAGTTATTTAAATTTACTTCAAACTCGCCTACAACAACACAATTCCGCAATTTACAAGCTAAAAGTAATTTTAATATTATTTACTAATTTTAGCACATTTAAAGTTCCAAATAAGTTTCTTAATAAGGCCAAATTAATTTTTCTTCTTAAATATTAACATTTTTTTTTTATAATTTTCACTTCATTTTAGTGAATTTTTTATAATTTTTTGTGCTGGCTTACAAAGTTTAATTAAGTTCCGCATGCATCTTTGCTTTGTTTTAAATTTCCCTAGTGGGCGTGGCATGTGATAAACCTGTGTTCTTCGCTTTAAATCTTATTTTCGCTTGTGGAATGCTCGTCGTAGTGGTTTTATTTGTTGCGTTTGAATGCTCCCAAACCTCAATTGAAATAAAGATTCAAGAGAGAAGGGGGTTAGAGGGCATGTACATATGTGGCTTGAGGTTTTGGTGAATTCTTGATAAGCAAATAACAAGAAAAATAAATATTTTTACAAAGAAAAAAAATTTAACTGTAAATGGCATGTCATTTTGAAGACTGTATGTTTGTGTGTGTGTGTGGTGAATAAATATTGTTATATTGCTTGAACATATACTATTGCATATTGGTGTAATACAGTTTGCGTGACTTTAAAAAATACAGTGTTTGAATACTATTTCTCTGCTTTGCAGATTATTTAAGAAAACTATTGTTTGGTTAAATACTCAAATAGAAGGCGTGAAGTTATGAGGTTTTTTTTTGTATTTTACGAATTTAAAAGGTTAAAGTTTCTACTTTAATTATTAAAATATTTTTCCTTTAAAGCAACATATTGAAATACAAAAATAAATTAAAAGTAAGACAAAAATAAAATTTCACGTTAGTGTTCAATAAAATTTTTTTTTTAAGAAATCGAAAAATAAAGTGATGCTTACTTTTCTTAATATGTATTTAATGATTACTTTAGTGCCCAGCCCATCGGCTGGCACTTTACAGCTAAAAAAAAAAATGTACTGACGTTTAACGTAATGAAACTAAAAATATTTTCAAAAAATATTAATAAAAATTAAATAAAAAATTAAAAATATTCGATACTAAAATAAGAAATACTTGTTTCCTTCAACTAAATTATATTTAGAAACTTACAAATAAACATAATTAAAAACTAAACATCAACTTCAATAGAGTATTTGTTTGGTACTGGCCAGCGAATTTGCTCGTGAATGCACGAAAATATTCGAAAATTTCAAACCTATACGAAAAAGTAATAATAATAAATTCTTTAAACCGAAAGGTTACTCATTTTATGAAAACAAAAAACGAGATTTAACAAGTTTGTTTAAATTTGAGAATGTACAAACATCAAATCATTACCGGCTGCTTCTTAAAAACAAATAATTTTTAAAACTAATAAGTTGCGGCTTATAAAAAACACACTTTAAATTAAAAATCAATATTATCCTTTTGCTACGAGCTTCTGTGCCTGCACAAAAATTAAATTCTTACCCAAAATTATTTATGCACAATGAATTTTTAGTTAAAATCGAAGAAGAAATAATCAAAAAAACTTGCTTACAGGTTATTTCCCCACTACACTAACGACATTGTAATGAGCATTTGGTTTTCGAATGTGCTTTTGAGCTTATTCGGCTAAATACGAGTATTAAACTAGTTATGGCTTAAGTACGAGCTTAAGTGCGGAATTCCATTTACGTCTTATAAATTTCAATTTGACTGGTGTACACATTTTGCAAACGTGCAAACGTGGGCTATTTAAATCGAGCGCTGAATACGAGCATGCACTATTCAGCCGTGAATTGGTGGAATCGGCCATACAGTAACAGCATAAGCAGCGATTTATAGCGATTCAGCTACTGGCTTACAATTTATTCAGCTATATTGACCATCAATTCAGCAGACCCATTTTATTATTGAAGAAGTCGAAGTATTGCTGGCGTTGTTGATGTGTACTTGTGGGCGGCATCGTTTGCATGGGTGGTCCGGCGAAACGTGGTGGTGTCAGCAGCGCTTGGTCCACAATTTGGTTAGGCTGTTGATGGTATAGTTGCGGCTCGCTCACGCTAAGATGCGGCATATCGTGTGTGCCGTGCAACAGCGGTGGTGGTGGCAAAGGCGACGCTTGTGCCCGATGCTGTTGTTGCTGATTGAGAGGCGGCGGCAACATACCAGCCATACCAGAACCGTTCAACGGTGGCCAAACCATATGTGGAGGCGGTGGTGGTGGTGGTGGCGGCGGTAGCAGTCGTTGCGCTTGCAAACGTTGTTGCAGCTCATTATGCTGCTGCTGCCGCTGATTGTGTTGCTGTTGTTGTTGGCGTTGCTGGAACGCCACAGTCGCCATTGCTGCTGCCGTTTGTTGTTGTTGTTGTTGTAAGTGGTGGTGATAGAGCGCGCCATTAGCATGATTGCCAAATTTTTTACGAAACTCTGCGATATTCAACAGATTGCGGGAAGCGGCCGCTGAATTGCGCCTATGCGCTGATTTACTGTTATTCGATATTGTTCTTGTTGTCGATGATCTTGTGGAGGCGGATGTTGATTGCGCTGAGTTGTCGTTTACCTATTCCCTGTAGGGTTTGCAGTACGAATAACGGTGATTCATGTGCTGACTATAGGAACCGGAATGTGAGAAGCGTTTGAAGCACTTGCTGCACTGGAATGGCTTTTCGCCACTATGCAAGCGTTTGTGTTCGGTAAGATGATGTTTGTGCTTGAAGGCTTTCGGACAGTCTACACACTGGTAGGGGCGTTGACCTGTTGAAGAGATGAAAAAATGTTGCGGTCAGTAAAATTGCCTAAACTTCGTACTGTGTACAAAAGAGGAGGGGCGCACTTTATGACGCTTTTGCTCACCGGAATGCTCGTACTTGTGTCTCGCCAGCGAGCTCTGCTTTGCGAACGCTTTGTCGCATTGATCGCATACAAATGGCAAATCCGGATCTCCTGCATGTCCGTGTGTTTCCACTTTGGGACGCTTCGGTTTGGCGAGCAAACCATTACCAATGTAGTCGTCATCATGCGAGATACGTGAGTCGTCATCGCGCCAAGAGCGCTTCTCTGAACCGCCTGGGCTGAGGCTGGTACCGCGATAGTCGGGGAATTTAATACTGTTGATGAGCGGATTGCAAGCATAGTCGCTGGGTGTCATGCGGAAAATCGCGTCCATTGGCATCAGGCCCCGCTGCGCCCCGGCGGGCAGCATATACGGTGGCAGATGGCCGGCCAGTGAGGCTGAGAAACTGTTGTTATTGCTGTTACTATCGTGACGCGGTGCAATTGGTTGTTGTTGCGTTAGCGGCGCTTCATTCGGAGATGGTGTCTGTCGTTGGAAATGATGACTCCCAGATGGCGCGCCGAAGTATACAGCCGCTTGCTGTTTGAGCGACTGAGGTACGGATGCGGCGGACGATGGTGAAAGCGATGAGGGCGGTGACATCGATGCAGACATTTTACGACTCAAATTAATAGCTTCATTGAGATCTCCGCTGCCGACGCTTTGCATTGGCGCAATACCGTATAAAGGTGAATGCTGTTGCTGCATGCCATTGCGTTTCACCGATATAGGCCAATCGCGTTTCAACGACAGATCCAATGGTTGTTCTTCACCCGTGCGTAAACCCGTTGACAGTGCAGTGCGCTCTAACGCGGCGGTAGAAGGAACGCTCGCTTCGGTGGCGGGCAAAGCGAACGGTAGTTTCCCATTCGCCTGGTGGTAGTTTTGCATTTTACGCTCGCGCGAACGATTGTTCTGAAACCATACTTGCACAACGCGTGCGTCCAACTGCAAACGTGCGGCAATCATGCGAAATTCTTCGCGACTGGGACGCGCATTGATGGCATAGTGCTGTTTAAGCTGCTGTTGTTGTTCCTCGGTAATGGCTGTGCGCACGCGTACTTTGCGCTCGCTGCTTTCGCTGTTGCAATCGTTGCGCGAGTTGGAATCACGCTCGTCTTGGTAGTCTTCAAGATCGCTGGAATGCAATAGGGAAGTCGTTGAAATGCCAGACTGTTCGGCAGAGTCATCAATAATATGTTGCGGCCGCACTAGAGATTGCGCTTGTTGCGGTTCCTCTTCATGTTCTTGATGCTGTTGCTGAGTGTGTTGCTCTTGGTAGCTATGTTGAATCTCCCGTTTGATGTAACCACAGAGCACCTTTTCGTGTTGTACCAGCTCAGTTTGGTGATTGAATTGTGTGTCGCAACGGCTACAGCGCAGCTCAGAAACGTTGCATGCACTGGAGTCAATTTGTGACTCGTATTGTACGTTGCTGGTGGGGGTGGAGGTTTCGATTGGGCGAGATTCCTCCATTTCGGCCGTGCTGTCTAATTCCTGTTTGATAATCGGCATAGTTTCCTCACTCCCCACTTGTTCAGCTCGATCGTCATCTACTGGAGTGACGGGACGATGATCCTCCACTTTGATTTGCGGTAAAATGTCTTTCTCGGTGGTTTCTGCAACTTCTTTATTATCTAACTTCGGAGTATTTTGGCGGTTTTTTTCCAAAATGGGTGATCCAATTGGCTCACCATGTCTCGCTTCAATTTCTTCATTGTTAATCTTCTCTTCATCAACAAGATTGGAATGGTCCTCCGCCTCCGATGCGACTTTTTCCGACTCAACTTCCTCCTCATCATCATCTTCTCCCTCTTTAGCATCACTCTCGCCCAGATCCATTACTAATTTGGGCTCATCCGGTGTCTCCTCCTCGTTTGTCTCATCAATCGACTCATCAATGCGCGCTGTGTGTTCTTCCACTTGTGGCTGCTGTTGTTCCCGTTCACTGAGGCTTTCTTCCTCGCGCTGTTGTACCTCATGCTGTTCTTGTTCATGTTGCTGCTGATGCTGCTGTCCCACTGCCGTCAGCTCCAACAGACGTTGTATGTTGTAAGGGGATAAGCGCGGATTAAGGCCCAAGCTGTAGAAGGGATTCGGGAATGTAGCTAAAAGTGCTGCATTCATAGCATTCATGTTATAATCGTCATATTTATGCAGCAAATGCTGATATAACGGCGGCGGGTTGCCGTTCACGAGCGCATCGCTGGCATCCATGGCATAGTAGTTCATATGTGGTGGCAAACCAGCCGGCAACGCTGAGTCCACATTTAAGCTTGACTCTGTCGGTCCACTTGTATTTAGAGCGTTGCCATTATTCGCGTTGAAGCGTTTAATGTTTTGACTCGGAGCATTTTTTTCCAGCGCTTTCAGCATAGCGCGATTCGGGTTCAATTTCATGCCCATACTGATGCATTTCTTTGAGGTCATGTGTGAGGAGTACGAACCGGAATGTGAGAATCTCTTGCCGCAGTTGTCGCAGCCGAACGGCTTCTCACCCGAATGGATGCGCACATGCTCCTTGAGGTGATGCTTGAATTTGAAGGCCTTATCGCACTGATTGCACTTGAATTTGCGCAGCAGTGCGGACTCGTCGTGGCTGATCATGTGACGCTGCAGCCGATACACATTGGCGAAGGCTTTGTGGCATATCTTGCAGCTCTGTAATGGAAAAAGGGAGGATAGCGAGATTATTAAGTGTGAGGCCAAAGTTTGTAAAGTTAGGAACATGATTTTAATATAGTTGCTCAACATCTTTACAATATTTGCAAAACATTATGTTTAAAATTTGAGTTCGAGTACCGCGCCATTCGAAGAACAGCAGCATCATGTTAATGCTTTGTACTCATTCACCCACCCTGTTGATTGAATTCAGCTGTGGGTTTTTTCAACATCACCGCCAAATATATTATTCACGGAAGTAATTATACCGCCTGAGTTTTGAACTATGCTTTCGACAAAAACTGATAACGCCGCAAAGCAAAGCTTTGGATTAAATTCGCACTTGGAATTTAGGTAACTAACTACGCATTTACGGTCAGGGCGGCCACCGACTAACGCTTGCTTATCTGTTCTCTACCTACAAAAGTTTTTACACGTGTATTCTGATTTTATTTTTTCAATGAGACAAAAAAGTGACGAAAACGCTTCAACAACCCGAGTAATGATGCTGTTAAGCTCGCTGATAAGAAATGTCAGGATTTCGCCAGCGGATTAGTTAGAATGTGAGCATGCGAGTTCGTTTTAAAAAGAGTATAAAAAACTTGTAATCTATTTTTTTTTTGTTTTAAGTGTGATAAAAAGAAATTAATTAATTTAAACAATTTTTTTTAAATTACAATTTTTTTAAATTTTAATTAAAATAATATCAAGCGTTTAAAATTTGATAAATATTACTATTATATTTAATTAAAAAATTTTAATTATTTTTTTTTACTAAAAAATGTATCTAAAAATATTCAAAAAGTTTTGTTTCTTTTACCAAATATCGATTAGAACTAGCCCTTGCTTTACCTGCCTACACACAGCCTTCTTCCCACTTGTGCACATCCAAATAGCGAGTTGGAGCGGGTTATGGACATTTTATGTCAAATTTCGAACAAGCACAACTAAATCATGCCGTGAAAAATATAATAGAATCAAGCGCAAACTAAATGATTTATTATATGAAATAATGCATTTATAACAATACAACTTCAAAGCCAACAAAAAAAGCACAAAATTCCGTAAAAAAATGCAAAAATGGCAATGAAGCAAAAAATAACAAAAATCAGCTGAAAAGGTTGAAAAGAGAATTGGCTTTCACGCGCCGCTGTGAAAAGTTATGGCAATAAAAAGTGAAACAAATGAAAATTGTGGCTAAATTATAGAAATATGCGGCGGATGTCAACAAAAATGTAAATTTATTCTTTCAAACGGCAAAAAAAAAAGATCTAAAATAAATAAATATTTACCGAATGAAAGCTGGTCAGCTCGTTGCTGCTATGCAAGACAAGAACGCTCATTATTTAACGAACTGCTATTGTGTACCTTATACCATATACTATTAATAATGTTTAATAAAAAATCGCTTGCCGTGCGTGAGAATAAAGCTCAGGCATAATAAAATATCAACTGATTTAACAGCAGAATGCGCGATCACAGGCGTTCGTGGTCATGCCCATTTACATGTATGGAGTGTATATATGTTTGTTTTTGGAGCAGCTTGAAGCAGGTGGAGTAAACAGGAAGCAATACGAAAAATAAAGCAAAATAATAAAAAATAAGCCCAAGCACAGGGTCGCATGCGAAAAGTTGGACTATGCATAGATTTTCGTTTTCCMAATATAAAAATATAAAATAAAATAAATATAAAACATAAACAGAATTTGGCATAAAAAATGCTGAAAGCAAAGACAAACACTTAGTGGGATAAGCACACTTGTAAGCGCGCACATGTCTTCTGCTCTAAATATTTCCATGATCCGCTCTTTTGTTGTTGTACGCCGCGGCTAATGAATAATGGGAGCAAAGTTGAAGGTGTCAAAGCAGCGAGAGAAAATTATTCCCATGACAGTTGCCGCGGCAATTTCCCAACTGCAATATACACAACCTGTGGTTGACATACATACATACATATGTAGATAATTTTTTATATGTACATATGTATATATGTATGTATAAATACATATTTATGTACGCATTAGCATTTACTTGTTGTAACAGTCGCCTTCGCAAAGGTAAATGACATGATTTCCTGACGGTCCCCCAACGCACGACGAGTGACGAGTTGGAGCAGCTCGTAAAAGGGAAATGTTTCTCGATTGATATCCATTAGCAGCTGAGTTACTCATATCATATGGAATGTGGTGGCAGGTGGGGCATGACAGGGCCATGAAAGTCGTGTAATTGTGAATTTCGAAGTTTACTTCTGTGGGTATAAAAATCTAAGAATGTCATCGTAACATTCGTAACTCAAGCGCCATCGAAGAATTGAGAGTAAAGTTTTCTGATCAAACAGACAGCAGTTTAAATTAAGTTTAATTAAAAAATAATAATTTATTAAAAAAATATATAATAAAAAATCACATTACATTAAAAAAAATTAAAATAAATAAAAAAATTGCAAAAAAATTAAATTAATTTAATTTAATAAAAAAAAAAATTTAAATAAAAAATAAAAAATCGTTTGGTAAAATTTCAGAATTTGAACCTGTTGTTTAATCCCTTAAAAATATACTCAAATGACATCTGTCGGATCTGATGACTCATCTGCACTTTATACATTTAAATACCAACAGCAGATGAGGGCAGAGGAAGCGAGAGAGAGAGCGTGCCTGAGTAAGAAAGAACGTAAGCTAGCAAGAATGTTTGTTGTTGTTGTAGCGGAAATAGCTAATGAACGCAAGGTGTGCTCATCGCCGTTCAAGTGGATGGATGCAAAAGCCTGCACTAAGAAATGGTAGGGCTAAACGGCGTAGAGCAGACCTCCTCTTTACGTTCCCCGAAAATCACAAATGAAAATACCAAGAAATTATTAAGGTCCCTCAATTTCCATTACATTTAACCCACGCCAAAAGCTGCATTACTTCAAAAGGCCGCTTTTCTCTTCACTTCTCACTTGCCCCCACCACATAGCTTCACGTGTTCCAACAAATAAAGCGCAGAGTGCATTAAACAGCGAGGAATGTAATAATTCGCTTGGCGTGTGGCACACACCTTCTGACACAACGCTGGCCGCTTTTATGGTCGCTGCTAATTTTTGAGAATGTGCACGCTTTGATATGCACTCAAACGACAGCAATAACAATAAACGAAAACAACAACACATTCGCGAACATACAGACACACAGCAAACATCACATATGCCAACAAGTGGATGTGTGTTTCAAAACAAAATTTCAGTGATCGACACAAACTGCATCAATAAGGCGCACAACAACAACCGAAAACAATCACAACAGCACTGAACTAGAACAGCAGTAAAATGGAAACTATGTTAGCAAAGGAAGGCGAAAGAAAAACAAACAGAAATTTGAAAGCAAATCTTTGCGCGGGTGAGATGAAGGGGGGCGGTGCAGGTTAAATGAAATGTGTGTGTTGACAGAAAGATTAAGGTGACACCAACACAAGTGGTTTCGGCACAGAAGTTATTGGCAAAGTAAAATTTACAAACAATAATAATGTTAATGTAGATGATTACTAAAAGCAGTGAAGCAGAGAAGCTTCAAGAAGTACCGAAGCTGAGAGCGGAGCGAAGTTGCGGGCGATAAAAAAGTCATATGGATTAAATTTTTGTAAGCCTACTAACCTTTTGTAACCGCTTTTCTTCAAATATTTCTATTTTTGATTTGGAGGTTAGAGAAGCCTACGGTGGTTTCTATGAAACTAATGGTTAAATTAAGTTTAACATTATATGGTATGACACAATGTTATTGGTAGCACTGGAGATATACGACTATAGCAACATCAATTGACAAATACGAAACGACTTTTTCGATTACCATCTAAGCTAATCAAAAAGGTTTGTTTATTAGTGTAGGAAGCTATGATGTGTTTTCTATAGCTACTAATTAGTATGATCTAATTATGATTGATTCCTATAGATATAAAGGTAGATAGATATATGTATGTTGTTGTGAGCTTTTCTCGAGAAATAGTAATAATTAACAAAATAAACTCCAGGAAATAAGACCTGCAATTAAAAATTAATTTCGCCGCATTTTCCATCCACACTATTTATTGTCATTATGACCAAAAGCAAACTAAGCCTTAGCTATTTGTGACAGTTATGTGGCTGCGGTTAATGCACGAGTACATATGCGCCCAGCTGCGTGTGCGCGCCAGTCGGCGACCCCAATTCAATCGAGGTGTCAAAACGTAATGCCAACTCATGCACAAACACCGCTACAAAGGCGTTCATTTAAATGGCTTTAGCCATTTCAATTAAATTCCTACTCACATAATAATTACATGCAATTTATTCGTAGTTTTCTTGTTTTTTTGTCGTTTTGCTCGCGGCTGCCTGGATCGTCTTAATTGAAAGTGTGAATCATATTTCACCGGAGCAGCGGCAGCGAGTGGCCGAGCGAGTGGCTCATCAGCAACGTGAGTATGACGAGATGCGCTGGAAAGCAAATTAGATCAATGCACAGATGAACGGATGAATGCCTCAACACATGCACACATATACATATGTGTCTATCTCAAGTGTAAATACGTGCAGATATGTACATATAGTACATACATACATATATGTATATATGTGGATACGTGCCATTATGACAGATCAGTACTTGCCAACCATCGGCGTGAGTGAGTGAGCGATTGTTTATTTTGGCGATCGTGATCGGCATGACGATGGTGGCGTCTGTTGTTTTTTCGTTAATAGTTTTAATAAAAATATTTGCATTCGAAATTGTTTTATATTTTTATTGCGCCTTACACCATATATGCCGCGGCTAGCTGTAATTGTACATGTGTATGTGCAAACGTTGTTTGACAAGTGTGCGATGTGGCGCGTGATCATTTCGCCTGGCTCGGGCACGCTTGCTACTCCATGTGTGCAACAACAAAATAAATTTATACCTATACATATGTAGCTATATACATATATAAAGTAAATAAAATGTCTTTTGTAGTTTTTTAACTGCTCACTTTTATGTAGATTGTATTTAAAAATA